GCACAATGGGGGAGGGACTGAACAGCAAAGTTCGATGCCTAAGCCATTGCCCTTTAGTATGAGCCCAGGCTGAAGCTCTGGTTTAGTTGATCAATAATTCTATGATGGATCAGATACCAGCACTAATTCCATATACAAGAGAATAATTTAAAATATCTGTATACATTTCAATGCCCAAGATTCATAAGAAGTTCTAAATTGGTCTCATGGAATCTTGTGACCTTTAATGCTTCCTCAGGTACATGTTGTGTTGAACACTGCATCACTGGCCTTTAAGCATCAGATCTGGTATCACAGTGACAGATAAATGGAAGTGGTAAGGCAATAGCCAGAAAGACACTTAGCATTTTATATATTAAAAAACCCGAGTTTTCTAAGAAAGAGAAAATTCAGCAGTGCTTATGTGTTACAAGAGGTTACAAGACATCTTCAGCTGCTTCTACTTAATGCATCTACCAAGTTGAGAAGCATCAGCCTTGGGTCTCTCCCCTCACACCCTGAGACTGGCTGTGCAGCTTCAGCCACCGCTGCTCTGACTATGGCTAGCAGACGGCTAGCAGACAGCTAGCAGACACAACCACATCCCGAGCAGCTGACATTTGCAAGGGATCTTGCTTTTCGAAGCAAAGCCATCTCTTTTGAAAGTCTCACCTTTGGTATCTCAACAGCAATAGAGCATTTTGGGAAGGTGGCCAAGGGAGTGAAGGGAGACACCTAGGTCTTGGCATGAGAGTTGTCCCAGATCAGCTTGTATCCTCTGAAGCACAGTCCAGAGCTGCTGGGATGCCAGTGGGAGCCGGCACCCACTGGAGACTTCTCAGAAACACTGCGGACGCGGGAGCGTGAGCACCTCACAGCAAGCAAAGACACCAGTCGTCATTTCCTTCCTCTTTTCCAAAGACAGAAACCACCACCACCACACAGAGGCCCATGCCTTGTGGCTCCGCCCCTGTATGAATCATAGCCAGGGTGAGAGGAGAAATGACAGAAATGCCCCTGTCAGCCTTGTGTAGGGTGGCTGTGAAAGACCTGAGACAGATGTCACTCATTCACTTCATAACCAGAAAGGCAGCAATAGCTATTATTGTGTTTGCTAATAACTCACAGCTCCTGCAAGGCTGGAGGCCAGCTCCCCACACTCAGGAAGGGATGTGACACAGGGTTTAGCTCAGTGCTTTGAGACATTCCCCCTCCTCCCCCCTCCAAAGTGGAGCACCTGGAGCTCAGCTGCCAGTACAACAGTGGTTGCAGAAACCAGGCCTCTGCAATGACTTGGACACTGACATTGATTTTAGAAATGGCACACAAAATAAATGTGTTACCACAAGGCCACCTGCAAGTAATGGAAGTCTGACTGAGGCAGGGCCAGCTCTGTTTGCAGAGTAGGGAAATTGCCTATGGTGCAGGTAAGAGGACTCCCAAGGAGCATCTCCTCTGTCCTGCTGAAAACACAGGGCAGCTTCACGGTGATGCTCTTCTGCCTCACAAGTGACATGGACCCTGCTGACACTCAGCAGCTGCAGTGTCACATCGCAATGCAGCGAGAGGTCCAGGCCAGTGGAAAGGCCACCACAGCTGCAGTTAAACAGCTATATAATATAAACTCCTACATGCACACAGAAGTTGTTTTCTCCCTGAGTTTTTTTTCAGTAACTGGCTACTCAGAGCCCAGGGTGAAGGGCACACAGGTCAGCTACGACAGGTACACAGGGAAAAGTAGTCAGGATGTTTTGCTCCTACCATTGCGAAGGAGATCTCTGAGACATAAAATATGTTTCCTCATATCCAGAGACAAAAATTCATTACTGTCGTTTCAGAGCAAGAGAGTTTGGCTAACCTGTTTATGGTTGTACTTGGCTTGTTTAAGAAGCTGAACTGACTTTTAATTAAGTTAAGGTAGTTAACTTGCTCACAAAGGCAAGAGCAGACAAGCATTCTGATGTTCTGAAATTAAGCTTTTTATTCCTTTTTTATTAACCTGAGCTGTGTGCAACGAAAGCACTAGGAGAAAGTGCTAAAAAGACATGGATTTCCCCATTTATTAGAAATCATTCCAATGGCTGTATTCATTCAAATGCCATAGTAATACAGGAAAGGCTGAGATGTCAAGAATGCTGACATTTCTTTTTCCCTCATGTCTGATCCCTCAGGTGACTTCTTTCATAATGGTGCCATATATAGAGTCCCTTATACACATTTTCTTTATTAACATAAGCACCAGCTAGTTTGTGTTCACAGACTTTAGTAAATGCAGAGTACCCACAAAAATTGCACAGAAATTTGCAAACTGTTAATTGCAAAACAGTATCAATTATATCTAGCAAGTTTGAAAAATTTTCCCTATGAAAAATCAGGGGGGCAACAGTGATGATCTGAAACATATTTTTACTATTTACTTGTAAAAAATATTTATGCTGCATATCAATAAGTTTAAGAGCCTGGAAATCTGTATTTAAAACAATCATTTTAAAAAAAGCAAACTTTGAACCTATTTTAATAGCAAGAAAAAAATAAGATTAGCAACAGAATAACAAACTGAAAGGGATCTGTTTGAGAAGATAAAAGGAGAATATTTGGTCAAGGTCTCTTCCCTCAGCTGAATGCTTGACCCAGCTGAGGCAGGGCTGCATATTTTGTCTGTTTTGCTGTTTTTCAGAGCAAAAGAAGTTGAAATTTCACATCATTTTAATTAATTTTAAATACCCAGAGCCAGATTTTAACCTCCAAACAGTACCCAGGGACCCTGTTACCGAAGTAAACACACGCAAAATCACCCTGGAAGGGTTTCACAGGAGACCTCAGCAGTCCCTTGTTCCCACCACAGACAACATTGCAGTTGTGCAAGCCACAAACCCCAATATACCACTTGGGTAAAGTATTCTTTCTGAGTTCTAGATTTCAACCTCTGTTTTGGAGTTGCCACACTTTTTGAGCACATCAGTTCTATACCTCAGGGGAAACAGCATAATTACAGGCACTAAAATATATGTGCTTCACAGTTTGTTCCCAGTGGAAACTGCCTTTTAGCTTTGAGAGTCTAAAAATAACCAGGCTGTAAAAATTTGAACCTTTTTTTTTTTTTCACAGAGCATGAAACCAAGTCCCCATTACTTTATACTCTTTCCAAATTGATTTTAAAAGTCAGCTGGCTTTCAGTGGCCTCAAGTCTTGCACTGGCTATAGAATGCAAAATCAAGTGTATATCAAGTGATCCCTAAATTTCACGTGTATCCTGTATTGTCATTTTATGCATCTCAAAGAAGCCACTTGGCTTCACTGAATTGCAACAGACATCAATTTCTAAATTTTGTAACACACCATAACAAGTTTTGTGAAGATAATACAGATGAGATTTTCAGTTACAGTGTGATTCTGGAGGACATCTTTATCTGTTTTTGTCTGTGATAACAATTCTGTTGAGCCTTTTGGTGCCTGAACGTGGCACTTTGTGGCAGATACCACAACACAGCATTCTCACCTGGTGATTACTGCTCTTCAGCACATAAAAATGCCAGCATGAACTGTTGTAAACAAACTTTTACCCACTGAGGGAAAAAAAAAGACAATTGAATAGAGCATTCTGGAAAAAATATGTCTTAAAAATAGTTGAAACCAGGTATTAAATCCATTAGTGGAGTAGGGAACATAACAAAAATGTCCCCAACTGTAATACTTTTAAAAATTCATAACCTGACATTTTGTATGCAATCTTTAATGTTCAAACTGTAACAATGGCTACTTTTAGAGTTACAAAACTTAAGACTTCCAGTGGAGAGACATTGCAAGAATTGACATATAGAAGCATATTTCTCCCAAAAGCCAAAAAATTTTTAAGCAAGGACCACAAATACCTGGCCACTTGCATATCTCTACGGAAGTACAATGCCATTCAGATTCTTTCACAAATATGTCAGTTTTAGTGTTTCAGGAACAAATCAATACTTGAAGAGAAAGAGAAGTAGGAAAGAGAAGAATTCAAGAAAGATGGGTGGTGACAGAAGTCCTTGTCTTGTGTGTACAGGTGCAGAAGTTTGTAAAGATTTAAGGCTGATATAAAAACCTCATATGAAACCAGGATATTTTTACGATCAGAAGTCTGCTTTACAATCAGGTTGGTGAACAGTAAATATTCAACAGTTGTCTTGGGTTGCAATGCAAGATATAACCAAAAGTATGTATTCTATTACCATCTGTTAAAACCAGATATGGCAGTGTTCTTTATTTCTTCCATGACTCAACCCTCATAACTGGGGGATATCTTCCATTAATAGGCCAGCTGTTAAAACTGGGTGGTGCAGTGTTCTTTATCTCTTCCACAACCCATCCTCCCTCCAGGGGGATATCTTCTGTTAATGGGCCACTGAGACTGATAAAATTACATCACCCCATTGGGAGATGCTCCACCCAGGGGGAGGAGCCAAGCATTCCTACCTGGGTAGAATCTGAGACTTGGCACACCACAGGCAACCTTTCTCCACTGGATTCCCAGAGGAAGACTGGACCCATCTACACCACTGGATCTCCAGATGAAAACTACACCCATCTACAGGATCATTGCCTCAACAGAACCACATCTGTCACTCCAGGAGGACTGCAACCACATTTTAATCAGACTGCCACCAACACACTGACCAACAGGGTGTCAGGTTGTATTCTGACTCTGTCAGTGGGTTGGTTTTTTTGTTAATTTCTTTTATACTACTGCATTTTTATTTTAATTTCTTTACTAAAGAACTACTATTCATATTCCCATATCTTTGCCTGAGAGCACCTTGATTTCAAGATTATAATAATTTGGAGAGGGGAGTGGTTTACATTTTTTTTTTCCATTTCAAGGGAGGTTTCTGCCTTCCTTAGCAGATACCTGTCTTTTCAAACCAAAACAGTCCAGAAGCTGGTGGGGCAATCACAACACCAGGTGTTCCCTGCCCTACTGGTAATCAAGGTGCCCAGAGTGTAAATACTTGCTACTTTCACCACAGGTGTGATAATCCTACAGTGTTATGTGCCATCTTTTATGGCACCATGCTATATAAGCCCCTCAAAGGTTAATTTTTAGCTAGCTGAAAGATAGGGAAAGGAACAAAGAAAATCTCACTGCACTAAGAAATTCTCTTAGGATGAGATCAGCAAGACCTGAGAGAGGCTGCAGGACAGAGGGGACAGATATGAGGAGGAGGGAACCACCACAATTCACAAGGAATGTACAGCATTATGTCTTGAGCCCACTTCATCTTCAAGCAGAATTATCTTACACACCTGAAGTTTCCATTTCCTTAGCCTGCCTTTCTGTGCAAGAGGGTAACTTGGCCCCAGTACATACATCAGGATTTGGCTCCTAGACTTGACAGGCTCCCCAGAATGTAAAGCCTGTTTCAGTCTTACTTGGATACAACCTAGGAAGTTATACTTAGCATGCAAACTCAAAAAAAAGTCATTTAGCCATTCTAAAGACACACATTCAACCTTGCTATGTGCTCAATCTTTTACTAATGTGGGTGACTGGTTTCACTAAAACCACTGCTTTAAAAAAAAGTGTACTAAAAATATGTGAGAATTTAAGTGCTCATGAAAAAATATCTTCCATATCTGGAGCCTGAACTCTTTTGCCTCCAGAATTACAGCAGGGACAACAGAAGTAATGGTAGCACAGATTCATCCCTGCCAGCCCAACCTTATGTGTAAACCAGCCCTGTCTGCAAGCCCTGCTGAGTCTGTAACCCAGTGAAGTCTAGGAAGAATCAGGTTAGTTTCCCACCTTTGACCACATTGCTGAGGAACAATATTAAGGTAACAAATCTCACAAAACTGCAAGACAGCTGTCAAATGTCACTAAGTTTTGGTTACTCTTATGCTGGACATACTGATGACTGTTATGCAATGACTCAGGCATGTCTAAGAGGTGCTAGGCTTGCCTGCAGGCCATTTATTACATGGATAGGACAATTAGTTCCTGTGGTTAGCTAAAGGGAGAACCTCCAAAATATTAAAACAGACTTTTGGGATTTTACAACAATATATACAAGAGTCCTCTACATAAAATACACATTGGTCAGATTTTATTTACTACGTTCTTAAGTAAAAAAAAATCCACAAGGACAGAGGTGGGGGCTGATCCAGGCAGAAGTTTGTCATTAAATAAATGCAGATAAACCAACAACTGAAGAAGACTGACAGAAACAAAACCAAAATCAGTACTGCTGTTCTCTGCAGATCTGCAGGCTAAGACTGCTCCAGTTCAGGCTATCAAAGTCCAAACACAAGTTTGTGAATAAGGGTATGCACCTTTCATTTTTCAAGATAGCACCCATGTGTTTTGGAGGGGAGAGGATCAGATAAAGAGCACATCTGTTTCACAAGAGGCACCTGCACTGTGGTCCTGCCAGGAGGATTTCACCTCCCATTCTCTCTGCTGCAGTATCTTTGTGAGAAAACATAAAGAACAAACGTGAGCAAAACCAGTCCTCAGAAGATCTTGCACTCATTAATGGAGAAGAGCTTCCGCCTGTTCTGCCTTTTGGCTTGATTGACCGCTGTCCGCACGGCATATTCAAACACCTGCTGCACCCCCCTGTTGCTGAGGGCAGAGCACTCCAAGTAGCCTTTGGCTCGCACGTCCTGGGCAAGCCGCTTTCCATCTATGGGGCTGATACAGGAGGAACCGTAGGGACCTGCGTCACGCTGGTCAGTCTGAGTGGCTACCACCAAAACAGGGATGCGGGGCAGATGGCTGCGGATCTCACTGATCCATTTGTTCCTCAGGTTCAGAAAGGAATTGTGGTTTGCTACTGAGTAGCACATTAATACCACATCTGCCTGTTGGTAGGAGAGGGGGCGAATGCCTTTAAAGGCATCACTGCCAGATGTGTCCCAAAGACCCAAGCTAATCTGTACACCATCCATGAAGACATCCACTCCAGTGTTTTCATATACGGTGGGTCTGTAGTCATCTGGAAAAGTCTCAGAGGTGAAACGTACCAAGAGAGATGTTTTCCCAACCGCAGAATCTCCCACCAGAACACACTTGATTGAATCCAGCATTTTATTAGCGTCCAAGGCCAAGAGTGCAGTCTCTGTGCAGCAGGAGTGGGATGGAGAGATGCAGTGGTCTTAGAGGCCTTCTATATACCTTCCATTTAGTGAGAAACCATCCAAACCTCTTTACTTCTTATGACTTGATTCCATCGCTTGAGACTAAAATTTCGTCTTCTCCCACATGACACTATCGGTTTTAAATCTTCAGTGAGTCAAATGACATTTCTGGAAGAGTAAAAATAAAATGTAATGTTTATAATGTGTACAAAAAAGAGAACAAACCATTCCTCATCAAGATAAAGATGCCTGGACATGTCTTTGTACAGGCACGGCAAGTATCCCTTGCAGAGGATGATGAACTTTTCCATTTCCTCCCAGCCAGCTGTGTGCGCAACAGCCGTTCTCATAAATAACTTTCTTGCTGCTCCACAGGGGCTAACAGTCTTACCACTATTGCCATTTTCCACTGACATGAGCTATTTTTTCCCTCCAATTGTCTAAAGACTAATAAAATTAATTTAACTTTGGTATAGCTGCTACTAATGTGCTGTGAGACATTCCTTGCTTCCGATTTTCACCAAGTCTGACAGAATCCTGAATCCTTAAATGATCAGTTCACATTCCCCTGAAAATGTAGCCACACTCTCTAGAGGTAGTCAGGAGGAAAAAAAGCTCTTTGCTAGCCAGTTTGACTATTTAAAGAATCCTATATCAAATGTTAGCACAGAACCACTTGTGACAATGAGGAAGCAAAGACTTCAGGTGTGAATCTCAAGTCACATCCTGAACAATTTTCAAAAGCAACGAAGGATTCACAGCAAAAATACCCAAAAAGAGGCTCATTTTATTTTTACAAATTGCTTTCAACAATCAAGAAGCACAAGCCAAAGAAAGCCCCACTACTGATGCCTGCCCCAGTCAAAATTTCATTTGAAGGGGCTACAACTGTCCTGGCATTTACTCTTATAAAATTGAACCAAGAGTACTCTTCAGAGTATGTAATTGCTTTTGAGCTCCTGCCAGCATTCAGTCAAATTTTCCTATTTTGAAAGCATTTGTTTCTTCCTCACTAGCTGTGTGAAAGATTCACTGCTCACACAGGGTGACACACAAGATGCTCCAAAAATCACTAACGGCAAAACTGAAGACAAATTAGTTCTGATGAACAAGAGTAATTAAAAAGAAAGTATCACTGCATAATTTCAAAATGTCATGTGTTTTTTACAGAAATAATATATTTCTGTTTCCTTCATATATGTAGACAGCCATCACAGCTGAAGGCTATTTGCACAGAAATGAATGATGGCCACAAAGGGCATATACTGTATTTTACTGTAATGCTCTCCACTTTCAGTACCCTAACACACCACTCCTCTCCCCCTTTATTTCTAGGACACTCAAAGCTTTGGCTTACTCCATAGACAGTGAAAAACAAGGGAAAAGTGCTAGATGAACTTCGAGAGAACATTTTACAGGCACCAACAACTGCTATTGGCCCTGCTTTCATTTTGTATTGAGGCCATGCCCTACCTCCTCTTGTGCTGCTGGCACACCTGCATCTCTCCCAGCAGATGCCTCGGCTGAAGGAAGATGTGTGGCCGGAGTAGGTTGCTTTATAGAGGTGGCACCAAGTCTGGGGGCTGTCCCTGTGTGTACTGGAGTTACGGTATCTACAGGAGTCATTGCAACAGACGGTGCTTCCTGGCCTACCAGCGAGACCGTGCTCTCACCACCGCCGCTCGCTTCTAGGAAGTGGGACAGAGGCTGAGGCTGCTTCACGACATTCCTGGCTGCCGGGAAACAGGCTGCTTTGTGAATTTAAGTTCTAGTGGCAGCAGATGAAAATTTGCTTTTAGTGATTCATTAGGTCTAAGTCCACTCTCTCACCTCCTCTGTTCTCCAAACAAGCTCTCAAGGGAATTAAACAAGACCTTTACAAAACACATCTATGAAAAATTCAAAAAGCATTATGTAGGATAAACATTCAAATTGCTTATACGAATCATAATCTCTCTTTCAGAGTATTCTACTTCAAAATTGGGTCAGCAATATAGTTTGAAACACCTCAATTTCACCACAAGACAGTAGTGTCCTATTAAGACAAAGCTGTATATTCTCAGGAGAAAGTTTCCAAGTACCAAGCATTCTTTTCAGAACAAACAATTCTTTGGTATGAGTAGCCCTCAGTGCCTTCAGGTTTATTATTCTGTGCACATTGGAATGTGGGGGAAAATAAGGATGCCCAAAGCACGACTTTTGCAATTTCTTAAATGCCAAAACAGAGAAAGACAGACAAAAGGATTGTTCTGGCACTCAACTTGTTGATTACCAGGTCAAATTATATTGGTTATTCTGAAAGAAAGTATAAAAATTATCAAAACCCGAAAGAGATATTGAGGACTAGTGAATATGACTAGTTGACAGACAATAACAGAAGCTGAAATATTCCACTCTGACAGTGCAGAATTGTTTTCAAAGAAAATGATATTGTTCTGCATTCCATCAATGAATAATAAAAAAACCCCTGGTATATAACAAGGTCCATAGTGGGATTCTGTGGACAAATTGCCCTCAGTGGCCCTGATCTTGCATTTGTTCACAATAATTCATGTTCCTCCACATATAATTGGGACTACATATGTGCATACCGAAGTATTAGGCACATGGCTGGTCCTTGTTGCAGCCTCAGGGTAAGAGCAGCATTAGTGTACTAAAATAGTTACACAAGTTCACCTGACTGGACAGAAATGCTTGATTAAACATCAACAAAAAGCATCAACTGTCCTTTAAAGAACAGTACTTTAAAGTGTCCTTTAAAGCAGTACTGGGCACCTCTGTGCCTCAGTATACAACCAGTTTTATAAATACTTGCAAAAGTTTTTGTCCCTTTCTCTCATATTCTGCTTTGGTCTGACAGCACAGTGTGCTACAACCATTACAGAAAACCTTCTGATCACAGATCAGAGATGGACTCTAAGCTGCTGAGGCTTTTTTTTTTTTCTCCAACACTTTGATTTTCAAACATTTACCAACTTTATTAAGATCATTTTATATATGGAATTCAATATATAAATCTGTATCTTCTCTTACGCTTTTTTTGGTTTATGCTTTTATCACTCGATAGAAGATATTATTTGAATAAGGTAAGACCTTTTATAAAACCATTAGGTATAAGAATGCATGTCTTATTCTTGTGTGGTCATGCTGAGTAGTGATCTTTAGTAAACTTCAGGTTTTGTTCCCTCTGTCTTTGGAATACAGGCACAAGTGTGTGGTTACAGAGACCTTGAACTTCACTGATGATGTGAGCACAAGAAGCCCTACACCAGTTGCTCTTTGGCAGTGTCTGACCTGCACCTCAGCAATCTCATGCAGGTAAAATGTCTACACTTGATCATGGCTGAATACAATACGGAGAAGGCGAGTGCAGCTGCCAACCCGCAATGGGACGGGATGAAATGTAGAGCACAGCAGCACCGAGCTCTTTGCATGTAGAGGATTTAAGTGAATGTATGTCCCTTGAATAATCAATCTGGTATCTGTTCAAAGAGCTCTACCAACAAAGGAAAGCAGGACTACTGTATCAAAAGGGTTAAGTCTATCAACTGAACAAAATGGGATTTTCCTTTATGCCAAAAAAATCTCTGGCATCTACTATAAGATCATTGTGAGCATGACTCACTATGGCTAAACATCTCCAGGGGATGGACAGCATCTTATAATAGGGAAAAATAAAAACAGTCAGGAACTTCTAATTTCAAAACCTATCTTAGATACTGATAGTGCACACTCAGGTAGGTTGGAATTTCAATGGAATTACCTCATACATAAACAAACCATGCAGGCAAACAACCAGCTTTTTAGATCAGACAGGCACAAAATGCTTCAGAGAGTTAAAGCAGTTAACATGCTAACTATTATTGCTATTATCCACTCCCTACCTCAATTACATCTCAGCAGAGTTCCTGTTCATGTCAGGATAACGGCAGATTAAATTTTCAGTTTAAGCACTGTGTATGCTAGCTCTTGAAGAGACTTGACATGGCAAGGAAATTAAAATATTTATACTAATAGAGAAGGTTGAAAACCACAGGAGAGGCTTCCACTAGCTGTGCAATTCTTAAATGTACACTCTTTCCCTACCTACTCTACTCTTGTAAGTCCCACCTCACACAGAGGTGGGGTCTGCAAAACAGTGCCTACAGTGTCTTGCCGTCTCAAAAACAATCTCCTTCCAGAATTTAAAAAAAATAAAATTTCAGACATAAAATCTTGAAAATTTTTATTTTACTCCCTTAATCACCAAACTGAAATCCTGTTCCTGTTTTCAAATTTCAGTGTTTTGTTTTGAAAAAAATAGAAAACTAAATTTTTGGTTTAATTTCTAATTTATGAAATTTCTAGAAAACAGAGAATCAGTTTCTTAGGAGCCTTTGCAAAAAATCACTTCTGGATCAAGACAACAGCTGAAAACACCTCCATTTCTTTCTCTGGCAGTTTTAACCACTGCAAATGAAGAGAAAGATTTATGATCAAATATTTGGAAATCTTGTCCACTTTATTATTAGCAAGGGAACTCACATTACCAGATTTAAAGGAAATTCCCTCATATTGAGAATGTGAAATCTTGATATAAAATTTGCAAAATTAAATGAGATGTGAAGTCCTAGCAAAGAGATGAAGACTTTTTGTGTAACAAAGTATACTTATTTACCCACATGCTTGCACATACACATAAAACTGCTTAATGAGCTGTCCTAAATGAAAAAAGTCAACTTCTTTAGTAATAGTATCTATAATAATATATATAAGCAATGGATAATGGTATGTCTAAAGATCTATTCAATTTATTACAGTTGCTGAGAAAAACTATATAACTCTCATTCTAATTATAGAATTAGAAAAAAGAAATATTTATTTTATCTTCAAGAACCTTCTTCCTGTGGCTAATCACACCTTGATTCATTAATTTACAAATGAGCACAGATTATTAGAACCACTCAAAAAATTAACAAAAAGCTTGTAAGACTCTGATGTACTGATCCAAGATACTAAATCTCTAAACAGAACTCAATGAAATCCAGCAATACCAAGTACCCACTTAAAGATTCAAGCCATTATGAAGTAACTTTTCTCCATGTTTATGGAATGACACAGTAAGTTTCAAACAATGTGGCATTCATGGTATTATGGGTCACTTTCAAAAGGGATCCATTTTCAGTGTA